TCAGACTAACCATAACACTATAAAATAATAATTAAAGATGAAAAGTCATAGAAGTGACATTGTAAAACAAACAAAAAGAAAACCTAACTATGACCTTTGCAATTAGTCATCTTTAATGGAAACCAGAAGCTATCTTACTTAACTGCTAGGTAGCCATAAGCTAACCCTTAATCTCCAAGTCTCATGTACCTATACAAAAGAGATGAAAACAGTTATATGTAGGGTTATGGTGAGGGTTACATGAGATGATATTGGACTAGTATTTAGCACAGTTCTCAGTCAATGGTAGTAACTATTATTAAGATGAAGATGTGATCATAGAGTTCATTTTTCCGAGACTCAATAACTTCATATGTTCTTTGCCTACAAACCAAAAGCAAGAATAGTCATGCTTTTTTGTTCATTTTGTTTCATTGCTGATTATATTTTGGTCTGAAATAGTGGAAATTATTGATTCATGCGTTTAGGAAATGTTTTTGAAACATGTAAGACAAAACATCCGAGATAATACGAACATCTTACTATGGAATACTTTGGTTCGGGTGCTCTGAGGTTTATGGCTGGAAACATATTTCCATTCCAACTACTCAATTGTTTCCATTTAAATGTCCAGAAAAGTGGCTCCCTACCTGTGCCTCAGAATAACCTATTGAGGTGTTTTAAAATATTGAAGCTTGGACTCTACTTCAGAGGTCCTGAATCAGAGTCTTCACAAGTGAAACTTGGGCCTCTAGATTCTCCAAACCTTTATGAATAACTGTGGTGTACAACCAGGGATGAGAATCATTGGTATATGACATTTTCCAAGGGCCCTTATAAGCTACCAATAAATAATTTTAGACATGACAGTAATGTGGTCCTTAACTTAAACAGAGCTTAAAGTAACACTTTCAACTTTAACTCTTAAGTTTGTATAGAAATGACTTATTTAAGGAATGGTCAATTTGTTAAAATGACCATCTTAGAAACAGTCATGTGTTCTAATTTATCAAAATGTTTCTATTTTTTAGAAAAGTGCTCCCAGTTGATACTCAGATCTCCAACTCATGATTAGAAATGTATTTACATAAATACATTCCCATTTATGTTAAATTTATCTCTTCTACTGTAATTCTGGTGTTCACTGTGAACCTGGGATAATAGTGTCAGTGAAATAACAATGGAGACTCTGAATTCAACTGAAATGGATATAAAATTTATCCTATTATCTAAGATGTATGTCAGAGCATCACTGTGAATACAGGGCAGACTAAAGTGGCTCCTGTCTCAATTAAAAGCACTGCATTTTAACTCCTAGCTTCCACTCTTACATTATTATATATAGATTTTATAGCTCATTCCTCCAAGCCTTGTTCTCATCTGCACAGAATATGCTCTTTTCATTAAAATTAAAAGTTACATAAATTCCAACCATTTGCAAAGAATATTTTTATTTTGTACAGTTAAAAAAAATGACAAATGACAACTCCAAGATTTTTTTTTTAAAGAAAATGTTTTCACTAGAAATGGTACAAGCACTTCAACTTTGATGTGCTTTTATAACCTTGGCTCAGAACAGAATTTTGTGTTCCTTGGTAATTTTTACATTAATAGAAATCAGATTACAGGGTACTGATGGACTCCTTTTTCCTCTAACTGCAGATGGGAGGGTTGTACGCTTAATGTTTCTAATTATCTAGATTTTGCATTTTCATATTCTCAGTCACTACAGAATTGGTTGGTCCCTAAGAAATCTTTTGGGCAATATTAATCATCTGTTGTGGAGGATGTGGACATCATATCAGAACTGAATAAAACACACAGGCCTGAACAGAGCCAATAAAAAATGATGCAATTTTTATGAAACTCTAGTCACTTAACAATATTATTTCCACCAATGTACTTTATTTGATTCTTCCCCCAAGACTAGAAAAAAATGAAACATAAAAAATGGAAAAAATAAAGTGAAAAGTTAGAGATTTTCTTCCAAAAAAAGCCCTAGGCATTTTACTGAAAATGAAAATCAACTGAAAAAAATAGGAAATCATTTAAAAAGTATAAAGTATCACATATAATGAAGTATCATCATTTTATATGTGTACTAGTATCTCAGAGATTTGTATGATTTCTATCAAACTTAAGTATCTTTCTCATATAGAAATGTAAAAGGTGACAATGTAAAAATGTTAGTAAAATTATAAAAATATTCAAAAGTGACTGTGTATCCTCTTCTCTATGGTAGAAGTTAAATGGTGGCTACATAATCTTATACAATGAAAGTTCAAAGTGATTTGAAAAAAACCCAGCAACCTTTGGGCTTTCTTTCTTAGCTTCTTTAATCATAGTGTATCATTAACCAAGCCTTCTGACCTGCATACAGTGTTGCTGTTTTCATTTACAGTATATGTATGTGTACTATATAGACTGTAAATATATATAGTATATGTATATGCACACACGTACATATCTACATATATACTATATATACACATACATATGCATACATATATATATATATATATATATATATATATATATATATATATATGTATATTCTTGGTCTCAAGTGAAAACAATTTTTGCCACAATTTAAGTTTTTATATAAATTTATGGAGTGCTAGTACAATCATGTTACATGTATAGACTGTGCATAGAGGTCAAGTCAGGGCTTTCAGAATATCCATCATCTGAATAACATACATTGTGTCCATTAAGGAATTTTTCATCATCTAGTACCTCACTACACCCTCATCCTTCCAAATCTCCAGTGTCTGTCATTCCACTCTCTACATCCATGTGTACACATTATGTAGCTCCTGCTTATAAACTGAGAACACCACCATTCTTTTCTAAGTACTTCAGTTTTTTGTTTATTTCTTTTTGAGCCTAGAAAATGTTCCTTTTGAAAAATGCATTTTGACATTTGGATTTCTATATAAGTGAACACTTATTCTTGAGCACAAAATAACAAAAGCACCCGACCAATACCTAATATAATTTTGGAAAGTTCATTTGTAACACTTTCAAAGACTGGACAGCCACATGGTTCTTTCACAGAGTAATATCCCACTAATAAAACACAGATCCAATGCAAAAGCAATTAAAAGTAAACTTCTTTCCTCTCATGATTTTTCACTTTAGCAGCATTAATGAGATTCAACAGCCTGTTGCTGTCCTTACTAACACCTGTTTTTTCCTGATCATTTTCTTTGTAACTGCAGTTGCTCTAACTCATGTCTCCTGATCCCCCACATCCCCATCCCAGAAATAATACTTTCCTCACAACCCACTTGTCTTTTCTTTATTCCATTTCCATTGCCTATCTCAGCTCTTCATTACAAAGATATTTCCTTTTTTCTCATGTGGATATTTCTTTCCCTCTAGAAGTAAGGAGCAGGGGAGAAACACCTCTGATCATAAAGGTCTACCCTTTTGTGGGAGAAGGGTTGGCTATGAAAATTCTTAAATTAACAATTATTGTGCCATCCCATATTATGTAGTTAAAAACAGTTCAATAATGCTATTTAAGGTCAGCACAGTGGCTCATACCTGTAATCCCAGCACTTTGGGAGGCCAAGGTGGGTGGATCACTTGAGTCAGGAGTTCAAGACCAGCCTCACCAACATGGTGAAATGCCATCTCTACTAAAAATACAAAAATTAACCAGGAATGGTGGTGGGTACCTGTAACCCCAGCTACTGAGGAGGCTAAGGCAAGGGAATGGTTTGAAACCATGGAGGTTGCAGTGAGGCCGAGATTATGCCACTGCACTCCAGCCTGGGCAACAGAGTGAGACTTAGTCTCAAAAAGAAAAAAAAAGGCTATTTAACTGATTTTCAGAGAGACAATTCTTATGCAAGTTTGTGTCTGTTTTCCCCATAATGACTTATAGAAAATTATTAACTGTATACTTAGGAGATTTTCTTTTCAACCCTCTTATAAACTGTCCTCTTATAATTTCAGTAACATCTTGATTATTTCTTATTCCTTTCTGTGGAGGAAAGAAACAACTAGAGGTATGACGATGATGATTTGAGGAGAAGCAGCATGCCTAGTGATTGCTGAAAAATGGGATTTCTGGCTCATGTGTCAGTAGTGACAACTTAGGAAAAAGGGTGGGATATGTGCTATTGTGGTAAAAGTAGAAAAAGGTCTGGTCACTGAATGAACAGTCAGACTCTAGGAGCAAAAAAGAATATAAGTATCTAGAGATATGAATTTTTAAAAAGCCTAGCATGAAAGTAAAACAAGGAATAGGGCTCAGAATAGAAATTAGGTTGTAACTCAAGTTCTCCTCTTTCTTTTAATTACATAAAATAAGAGGAAAGACTCTCTGCCCCCACCCCCAAGTTGTGGTAATCTAACAGAGATAGAAATTTTTCTCCCCATCACCTTCACCCTTCTCATCTTCCAAGTAAAACATCTTGCTTGCAATAAAAAATGGCAGATCTTAAATAACACATTTTTTTTTGTGTGTGTGTGGGGAATGGAGTCTCACACTGTCGCCCAGGCTGGAGTGCAGTAGCACAGTCTTGGCTCACTGCAACCTCCATTTCCCAGGTTCAAGCAACTCTCCTTGCCTCAGCCTCCCAAGTAGCTCAGATTACAGGTGCCCATGACCACACCCAGATTTTTGTTTGTAGGTTTAGTAGAGACAGGGTTTCACTATGTTGGCCAGAAAGACTGGGTTCTGTATAAGCTCTCCTTTCTGCTTAGTTTATATGGAAACTTGTTTTCATATACTCCCAAAGTACACTAAATCAGTTGGCAGTACCAAGCATGAGGGGTATACTTCATAATCCTTTTAACTGACTGGCAAGAGAACTGTCCTGGAGAAAAATGCTCCCACCAGCTCCTCCTTCCCTGTATCTCATTTCTATCATATTATCAGTAGATTAGTGGTTAATAGCAGAACACATTTATGGTGAAAACTCTCATCAGACAAAGAAACATGATAAAATCCAATAGACAGAGAGTTCCATATCCGTTTCTATCAGGAAAAAAACAAATAAATGGCTCACCTTTATATACAATGGCTCCCTAAGATGATCAACCAGAATGCAGGCTTTTTCTTCCCACACAGGGTTGAGGTTCTTGTGTATTATCTTACTTCTAAAAACTTCCTTTCTTCCGATTTTGAACTTCACATATGGATCACTTGTCCCTATTAAATAGATACATATTGATTTCTGTTAATCATGCCTTGGTATGGAAGCAAGAGAATCACTCATCAAAGCATCAAAAAGTACTTAAAGGAAGAAAAGTTAAATGAAAATTATCCATGGAAAAATAACACGTGTTTTTTAATGAATTTTTAATTATATATTGAAGTGATAATAAATATTATTGTTGTTATTTTATCTTCTGATCTTAATCTTGTAACCTTGTCCTGGTATTTAAAAACAGTCTATTCCAGAAAGCCCACTAGTGGGCCTCTACCCAAAGGAAAAGAAATTATTTTATCAAAAAGACACCTGCGCTCATGTTTATCTCAGCACTTTTCACAATAGTAAAGTCGTGGAATCAATAGACTATTGGTTTAAAATGTGATATACATGTATGTATATATATGTGCCATATATATATGTGCCATGGAATACTATTCAGCCATAAAAAAGGAAGAATGTCTTTTGCAGCAACATGGATGGAACCATAGGCCATTACCCTAAGTGAAATAACTCAGAGACAGAAAGTCAAAAGCCACATGTTCTCTCCTGTAAGTGGAACCTAAACAATGGGTATACATGAAGGTACAGAATGGAAAAATAGACACTGGAGATTCCAAAAGGTAGGAGGATGGGAGAGGGGTGAAAAATGAAATAGCACCTATTTGGTACAATGTATATGACTTGAGTGATGAGTATTCCAAAAGCCCAGAATTTATCACTATGTAATATATCCATGTAACACAACTGCACTTGTCTCCATAAATCTCTTTTTTAAAACCCCACTCTAGTGCATGTTGAATGTGTAAATTTAATTAGTTATAAATTGTGGAGATTAATCTGAGATTTCTCTTGATATCATCTGGTCAAAAATAAAAAGATGTTTAATAATCCTTGCTGCTTAAATTAGTTTTAAAAGCATATATATGCTGCTAAAATGTTATACTAGCTAACTATCCTAAATATATGTGCACCCAGTACAGGAGCACCCAGATTCAAAAGCAAGTTCTTAGAGATCTACAAAGAGACTTAGACTCCCATACAATAATAGTGGGAAACTTTAACACTCCACTGTCAATATTAGATGGATAAAGGAGACAAAATTAACAAGGATATTCAGGGCTTGAACTCAGCTCTGGACCAAGCAGACCTAACAGACATCTACAGAACTATATACGTTCTTCTTAGCACCACACAGCACTTACTCTAAAATTGAAGTAACTGGAAGTAAAACACTCCTCAGCAAAGGACGGAAATCATAACAAATACTGTTGGAATTCACTTGGGGTGGCTGGCAAAATATTAGGAAAATATTAGAGAAAGTTAGAAGATTATAGTCTCAAACCTTTTGGAAGGCCAAAAGGTTTAATGGAACAGGCTGAAGGCAGCCAGTTCATTATGTTAGATTTTTAAGTCATAGGGTAAAAGATTAGGATAATAAAAGCTTCCCCAGTTAGGTCTGTTTACCCCACATTCCTTTGTCCCTACTCTAATTTGTTTGCTCATGTAAACTTTGTCCTGGATGGTCCTCTCAGGGAAAGGTTGAAGGGAAATTACCCATTAATGGCGTTTACTCTGGGCTCCGGAATCAAAACCTTTTATCATTCATAAAAGCACTCTTTTATCCAAGTTAATTATCCATGAGCATGTTAACTTAAAACCTCTGTTATTAAATTTATACTAAATAAATGTGAGGAGGTACAAGGAGTTGTGGTCAGTTAGCTGCAATCATCCTCTGAAAGCAGTTGACAACCATCCCTAGCTCACTGGAAATCACTGTGCTGGGTGTGAGAGGACATTCATTCATCCTTCGTTGAGTCAGGGTCTGCAGGACAGACCTCTGCAGGTAGTGATCAATGTCTCGGGCGGTGACCCTGACGTGATACTCACCACAGCTGGCACCTGAACAGGGACACTGACATGACTGACACCACAGCTGGTACCCCAGTGTGAGGAAACCCGACCAAAATAACGTCACAGCAGGCAACCAAACGTGAAGCAAACCAAGGTAATCATCACTGTGAAGAAGGAACAGCAGACCCCCGGAAGAATGAAAGTGCAGAAGACTGTGCAATCAGGTCAAGAAGTCAGTAAGACATTGGTACCTACTGGGAATTACCAAGTTTAGGGAGGCATTGTTTCAGGCTAGGGATTCATCATGGGGTAGCAGTAATCAGTGCAACAAAAACAGTTATCAGGCCCAATTGAAGGAATTAATACAACCTGCTGCTTCCCAAAGCCCGTGGTTCCCAGCAAATAGCATGCTGGAAGCAAAGCTCTGGGAATAAGTGGGGAGAAATCATGCACAAAGGCATCCAATGAGTAGGGAAAAAAAAGGAAAAAGAAATGCTACAGCTATAGATCCTTGTCTTAAGCAAGCAGCAGTACAAAAGGAACTCTTATGTCTGGTAATTAATAATCAGCAAGGCGACCAGGTGTATGTTTATAAAAAGATAAGAAAAAAGGCATCAGAGGCAGAAACTGCCCAACTTAGCAAATAGTGGGCAGAGGAAGAGGCTCCAGCAGAAAAGCTCCACCCAAGCGGCAGCTACCACGGTGGAGATGGGGGTGGGGGTGGGGTGCGGTGGAGGGAGTGAGCAGTAAGCAAAAGGAATGGCTCCACAGCAGGGAAGCAAGCACAGCATAAAAGCTCACAAAACCAGAGCCAGCAAACGCTACCAAAAACTCAGCCTACAAGGAGAAGAGCCAAGCCCAGAGCATCCCAGTTAGCCTGAAAGGGAGGGGCAGGCGTCATGGGCAGAAAGATCCATCCAGCCACCGACATTTGCTGCACACAGAATGCAGGGCAAGCAAAGAGCAGCACCTGGCAGGGCACAGCACAGCTGCCATCCCAGGACCGCGCTGTTTCGCTCTGGCTCCACAGATGTCCCAAAGTAAAATTTCATGTATTCTTTGTATACAAGCAGCATCCCAAATTGTAATTCTCTGCTAAAATTTAAGTAAAATTTAAGGATTTGTAAGACCTTTTTCTAATATTAGCCACTGTTTTTATTCCAATGCTACCCTTATTATGGCTCTTTTAAAATTCAACTTAAGTAAAATGGTAACCTCCAAAAGGAGAAAAATTACAGAAGGCCTATGAATAAGTTGAAAAGCAATTAAAAGCTAAGCATGTAAAACTACACCTTACCCTTTAAAAGAGAACTTTAAACCAAATTAAATAATATTTGTTGAATTAAGAAGTAAAAATGTTGTGCCCATTTCTCAGAAAGTGAAAGACATTTGTATGTAAGTGTAGTAAAAATGTTTGCATGCAACACTGATTTGAGATAGTCTTTTCTCAGCTAGCCACTGTTTTCAGAACTGTTTGCCGGTTTAAAGTCCATAAACTTAGCCTAAAAACTCAATGGCAAAATTTAAGCTATTCTGCCTGTGGCCTTATGCACATGGTTAAAGTATATTATGTAAGTCTCTGCTTCTAGAGATATTTTCAGATTTCCTTTTAAACTTCATTGTTACCAACCTCAGCTTGCCATCTTAAATTATACAGTCGATTGCTAAGTTATAATCCTGATATCATCAAAATTCCTTTAAGAAAACAATTTAAAGTGATATTGTACTTCTCCATACCTAATGCTTTAACACTATTTACTAATAGATCAGGTAAACAAAAAAAGGCCACAATCTAGTAGAGACCACATAATTCAATCACCCAATCAAAGTTTACTAGCAGTCAGAGAGCTAAAATTAAAGCCGTGATACCAGCCTTAAAAACGTTTCCCACTCAGCCCATAAATATAGTAAGTAACTTGGCTTACTCAGTGTATCTACTACAAAATCTTGAAACAGCTTTAATCAAGTCTAATCTTAAGCCCACAGCTCACTGCCTAGCCCATTAGCTTATGGCAGTAAACAAGCAAACTTAAAAGTAATAACATCACTGCTTAACCAAAACAGAAACAGAAAGATTAAAAAGAGAAATTAAAAGAATAAGTAAAAAAAAAAAAAAAAACAGAGATTAGAGAAAAATACAAATAGCGAGATTAAGAAAATAAAGTGTAAAGAAAAGAGAGAGGCAGAGAAAGAGAGATTAAAAAAAAACAAGGAGGCAAAGAGAGAAAGAGAGGCACAGAAAGCAGGACAAAGGAGATAAAGTAGAAAGTAGAGAAAGAAATATTTGGAGGGTTACAATTCAGCTTCCTCAGAAGAAAAAATTCAGAAGGCTAAGCAAGTCCTGCTTCATTTTTTATTCTTTCACTCTGCCTGCAATCTGCATCTGCTATACTCTATTGGGCTCACATATTAGACCCACCTTTCTTTTGCCCTGTCACCTGGGCAGGACACCCTCTTCCCAGACTATAACAACATGACTGCTTGGCTAGAAGGGATAGATTCACCCACAGTGAGGTTCCCTCAATAATGGCACACATTGGACTAAGGTGCCAGATAACACTACATATCACTCCAGTATCCTCCCACTGTGTGTAAGTTATAAAAGTCCTAGACCTTCCTGTGTACTGGCCCAAAAACAAGTATGGCTACATCATGTCAAAGGAGATACCTTAATATTTTTAGTGGCAGGTAGCCTCAAACCAGGCAATATAACCTGTACCACTTTTCAAAACATTCCCAGGAAAGTAATGAATTTCACTTTAACTGGGAGGTCTGTCACAGTAAACATACCCGTAGCCTTGAGTTAGGCAATTATAAAATCTTAGACTGGGGCCCCACGGCAGACTGCAAAGCAGCCTTACTAATATTTCCATCCATCATAGCATTAATCACAGTTTCATAGCTACATCTCGTTCTCCTATAATTTGGGCAGATGGAGGGATAGGGTATCCCAGACCCCGAGTAAAGTCCATGCCACCCCAAGGCACCTTATGACACCTAGGACACCTCAGTACCTCCCTTAACACCTGATATGGGACATATCATAATTCCAGTCACAACTACATTATAACCTTTTTTCATAATTACACTGATCAGTGCCTGATTTGCACTACCTATCCATATGTTTTCCTAATGGGAACTAACA